GAGGAACACTTCTCCATTGTTGGTGGGAGTGCAAACTTGTACAGGCACTTTGCAAATAAGTATGGTGGTTTTGCGGAAAATTGGGAATCACTCTACCTCAAGACCCAGAAATACTACTCTTGGGAATACACCCAAAGGATGCTGAACCATACCAAAAAGTCACATGTACAGCTATGTTCATAGCAGCATTATTCATGATAGCCAGAACTTGAAAACAACCTAGATGTCCCTGAACCAAAGAATGGATAAAGAAAATGTGGTACATCTACACAATGGAGTATTACTCAGAAGTAAAAAACAATGGAATGAAATTTGCAGGCAAATGGATGGTACTAGAAAAAAAATCATTCACAGTGAGGTAATCTAGAAACATAAGGATAAACACAGCATGTACTCAGTTATAAATGGATATTAGATGTAAAGCAAAGGATAACTAGGCTACAATCCTCAGCCCCAGAAAAGCTAGGTAATAAGGAGGACCCTAAGAGGGATGGATGCATCTTCCTGGGAAGAGGACAAAGATGAGATGTTCTGGGTAAGCTGGGGGTGGGAGGGTAGTAGGAAAGAAGGGAGGGGGAATGGGAACATGAGAGATGAGGATGGTCAAGTTGGGGGTGGGAAGGATGGGGAGAGTAATGAGTTATCTTGATATAGGGAGCCATTATGGGGTTAGTGAGAAACATGGCACCAGGGAAACTCCCAGGTATCCACAAGGATGACCCCAGCTAAGACTCCTATCTATAATGGAGAGGGTACCTGAACTGGCCTTCCCCTGTAATTAGATTGGTGACTACCCTAGTTGAGCCTTCGACTGGTATCTGATGGAAGTAGATGAATAGATACACAGCCAAGTACTAGACCTAGCTCTGGCAGTTCTGTCGAAGAGAGGGTGGAGGGATTATATCAGCAAGGGTGCATCAAGATCTTGATGGGGAAAATCACAGCTGGTCTGAGCTTGTGGGAGCTCACAGACTTTGGACAGAAAGGTAGGGAGCTGGCATTGAACCAACCTAAGCTCTCTGCATCTGGGTGACAGTTGTATAGCTTGATCTTTTGGGGGGCCCTAGCAATAGAACCAGGAACTCTTCATGATTCATGAGTTGGCTCTTTGGAACCTATTCCCTATTGTGGGATACTTTATTCAGCCTCGATGCAGAGGGGCTTGCCTAAAATTGATATACCATGCTTTGTTGATTCCCATCGAAGGACTTACCCCATCAGGACAGGGACAGAGGAGAGGCTGGGGGAGGGGGCGGTAAAATAGATGCAGGGGGACAGAACAGGAGGAAAGGAGGGAGAGGGAAACTGTGGCTCGTACGCAAAATAAAATTTAAAAATTATGCAAAAGAGAGAATAACAGACATATTGCATAAACATTGGGTTGTTTAGGACTTCTATTGTTTTTCCTCCTTGACATAGGATAAATATTTTCTTAGATGAAGTTCTTATGGCCTACTGCCAAATTCAGGCAAGAGCTGCATGGCTAGCTCTTTTTTTTTTTTTTTTTTTTTTTTTTTTTGGTTTTTACGAGACAGGGTTTTTCTGTATTGTTTTGGAGGCTATCAGTCTAGCCCGGCCTCGAACTCACAGAGATCCGCCTGCCTCTGCCTCCCAAGTGCTGGGATTAAAGGCATGTGCCACCACCGCCCGGCCTGGCTAGCTCTTAAAAGGAAGAGTTGCAGAAGTTAGAGCATGGTTTCCAAATTTGGGAAAAAAATAACGAGGTTCCAGATCCAATTTTTAAAAGAGAAATTCTGGTTTTGGAGCTGCTTTGGAAAGACATGGGAGAAGGAGGAAGTAGAGGCAGAGCAAAGGTGGAAAGGACTCCCACTAATGCCATTTGGAATACTTTTCAGTATAAATGCACAATGTGTTGAAGTGCCGTATTTTGTATTATCTTGCTCAGAATTTCAACAATATACCTTGGGCGTCATCTACTGCCCTAGTCAGCATCGGAACCACTAGTAAGCCTTAGAGATGGAACCCACTGGAGTAAAGATCCCCACAAAGTTTACAGTTTGGTGAGGTAGGATTAAAAGACAATAAAATAATAAGCATTGGCAATATGTGAGTAATTGAGCATTCTTGTGCACCGTTGGTGGGAATGCCAAATTGTGAGACATGGTATGTCATCTCCTCAAGAAAAAACAGAATTAACATATGGCCTAGAAACTCAGTTTTTGGACATATGCCCAGAAGAATGGACAAGAAATCCTAGAAGAGGTATCTGTATGCCTGTGTTTACAGAAGACTTATAGCCAATTATGAACATATGCACAATCAACACTATTATTCTTTAAGTCTTGTCTAAACCATCAGGGTTAACAATTCTACAAACGGAAGTCAAACTAGCATGAAAAGGAAGTGAAGCTTTGTCCCAGCTGCCTTGTGAAAGAAGAAATAAAATATTCTACATTTGGTTTGTGAATATGTTTATAAGGTCTGTGACTTGAGTTTTCATGTTTATAACAGATTATTTTGTAAAACAGAAATATATTTTCATTTTGGCAAAGGTACAGGATATTAAATTTATCACATTAGCCATTTTCTTCTTTATAGTTTTGTAACAATTAAATATATTTATATTGTGCAACTTTCATAATCATTCATCTCTGTAAATGCTTTTATTAAAACTGAAATTTTGTATTCATCAAACAATAATCCACCTCCCTCTTCCTACCTCTAGCTCTTGCAAACCTCCACTCTTCCTATTTGTAATGTCTGGACTACTTTAATAGCCTCATAATAATATGTCATAGTGTCTTTTTATGACTGGATTATTTTAATGAGTATAAGGCTCTAAAACTCATTTATGTAGATAACAAGCTGTCCAGTTTGCAGTTTACTCTCATTTGCTTTAAGGCTATTGTTATGTTCATTTCCTAGGAGAAAATGAATGAAAAATTCTTCCAAAGAGTTCAGCCCAACCTTGTGATTCTGCATTATGGTTTGGAGCTATATCTCTGGCTCACTATACTGCAGCACTTATCAGCCTATGGGCTGTAACCATTGGAAAACACATATTTCCAATGGTATTAAGAACCACGGACGATAAATTTATATTTTTTGCTGCTTCACAACTGTAATTTTGCCAATGAGCAATGTCTCAGTTCCTAAGGTCATTGGAAATATGTCTTAAAATGTGTTCCTCTTATATTTTTAATTTCCATGTTTAATTTTACCCTCACTGATGAAAAGAAAGAATGACTCCAGTTGTTTATTGTGGTAGTTTGAAAGAAAAATGGCCCCCAAAGGGAATGGCACTATTAGGAATTATGACCTTGTTGGAGAAGGTGTGGTCTTATTGGAGGAAGTGTGTCACTGTGTACGTGAGCCTTGAGCTCTCACACATTTTCAAGCTATGCCCAGTGAGAGAAACCACTTCCTGTTCCCCACCAGCAAAGATGTAGGACACTGGACTACCTCTCCAGCACATGCTGCCATGTCCCACCATAATGATATAGTACTGAACATCTGAATTGCAGGTGAGTCACCCCAATTAAATGTTTTATTTTATAAGAGTTGTCATGGGGGATGCTGGGGAGATGGCTCAGTGGTTAACAGCACTGGCTGTTCTTCCAGAGGACTCAGGTTCAATCCCCAGCACCTTCACTTAAAGTGTCTGTAACTCCAGTTCCAGGGGATCCAACAACCTCATACAGACATACATGCAGGCAAAAGTATCAATGCACATGAAATAAAAATAAATAAAATTTAAAAAGGAGTTTTTATGGTATCTCTTCACAGCAATAGAAATCCTAACAAAACATCAATGAATAATATAAAATCAATCAAAATTTGTTAGAAAAGTAGCTAACATTCATGGTGGTGTGTTTTGCTCTGCATCCATCTCCAAAAATAATGCTTGAATTTAAAAGTATCTTTTTACAATGGACATGTGTTTTTAAATTCATAATATACAAAACATTGCTCAAAATAGCAAATAGCATTACACTTTGATAATTTTTTGAATTAATTTTATTTTTGTGAATACATTTATTTTGATTTTAGTCTTTGAGAAGTTCATTTTTTAATTGAGAACAAATTTACTGTAAATTCTGACTAAGGATTCCCTTCTCCAACTACTCTCAGCTCCTCTTTACCTCCACACCCACCCAACTCTAAGCTTTTTACTCTCTGGCTTTAGAAAGGTTCATATTTGATGCAATGTATTGTGATCACATCCACTCCCCTTCCCTCCAACACATTCACTCTGAGCTTTCTAACACATCTCCCTCCCAAGTTCATGTCCTCTTTTTTTGGCAAACAATGAGTTTAATGGGTGCTGCTTTTATGCAAGGTATGGAGTCATACACTGAGGCACAGGCAGCGTACCAATGGCCACCCTTCTGAAGAAAGCTGATACTTTCTCTCCCACCATCCATTAACTGCTAATAGCTCCTCAGTTAGAGATGCAGCCCCAGCAACTCCTGATACTTCAATGCTGGACTTTTAACGTTTTGAACTTGACTCAAACAGTTTAAGACATAGAGTTAGTGAAATGGCTCAGCAGTTAGGAGCACCGACTGCTCCTTCAGAGGATCTGGATTCAATTTCCAGCACCCACATGGTGACTACTAGCCATTTGGTGAATAAACGCTTTCTTCTGGCTCACACAAACACTAGTCATGAATGTAAAGTAACCAAAAACATAAGTACAGTTTAAAAAGAAAAGAAGTTTAAGATATTGAACTACTATCTCCTTTATGCTAAAAACATAATGCAGTAAGAACAATTTATTGGATAATGATGACTGCTGAACTTGTAAAAAAAGTTAAAAACACTATGAATTTGAAAGAAATTATTTCTCTAAGACAAAATAGCCAGCTGCATCTACTATTATGTCTATAAAATTCAGAGTTCTATAATCTAGACATTGTGGCATGTGTTCTTATGGCCTATTGACCCTGCACTGTAGTTCAAGTAATGGCCACTCCTCTTTTGCTAAATATCTTAATGGGTAATTGGGAAGGTGGCATCCACCTCTTGCTTTCACATACCTCTTTGCCTTTGATACAAAATGAGATTGACTCCTCCAATTGCAAACATTGAAATCATGAATAGCATTGCACTCTTTTTCCAAGGACACCTCCCTAAACAAAAAAATAATGTTATTATCACTTGAAATTTATATGGGGGCATGTTATATTGAAAAAAACTACATCAAGAAAGCAAGAGCTACTCTCTGTGTCAGTTATTTAAAGTTGTATTTTAAATTTTGTATATTATAATATAATTATAACATTTTTCCTTTTCCTTTCTAGAGGGATTATTTCCAGTGTATTTTGGAAATCGCTAGAGAGGGGAATGCCAGGGTATAAGTGTATGATAGGATATAAGGGTAGATTATAGAATCTACTCTGAAAAGGAAAAGGGACCTATAGAAACAAAATAAAAATGTAGATTATTGAATGTACTTTTAAACCAAAAACAACTAATAGTTTTAAATATTTTAAGTTGACTTGCATTTTTTGCATGTTGATATAAAGTTGAAATTATTTTTGTAAGCACATGCTGTACATACATTTCTAATTTCCTTCAAGGCATGGCACCTATGCAACTCATTTAACAATGTAATACAAATTTCTAGCCCTTGAGAGTTATTATTACCAACTATTTCAGATAAAGAAATGCAGGTTTGCAATTAGTCACCAATTACAATCAAACTTGTAGTCATATATGGTATGTTTTCAAGTTCAAACAGAGATACACTTTAGATAGGCAGGTCATCTTTAAATACTTCAGAGACTAACAGAATATGGCATTTAAGATGTTTAATAACATAGGCTCCTTTTTTTATGACAATCAGGCGTGTCTTTTCCTGGCAGCACCAAATTACTTCAAAGAAGATTATGGACATTGAAACTCCACATGGAGTTTACTTTCTTTGTAATAAGCTACTCTGCAAGAGATTGCTTTCGCCACAACTGTTGATAGTATGCTGTCCAAATTGGACAAGCTGGACACAAAAGAAATGACTGCCAAACATTGACAAGACAGGGTAGTACAGCCCTTTAGAATATCTAGCTTCACAGAAACATTTGCCAGATTTGCCAGGACCATAGGCTGAAGATGAATGCCCCAACATTGAGAGGAACCTTGGGTGACTGTCTAGGCAACCAGCAGTTTCTGTCACAGCCACTTTCTTGAATTTCTTGCTTACTCAGCTAATATTATTTCCTTCTTGGGTCTCTGATGGAGTTGAAGACTTTATCGTTATAGTTTTACTTATTACCTGCTTCATTAAAGAAATTTACCAAAGAGGTGGAAAATATATAAAGTTGAGAAACATAAAAAACACAATTTTTGTGTTGGTAATGCATGTAAGGATAAAAAATGAATTAGGTAAAACCTGTTAGACTCACCAAGGTAGGATAGATATGAAATAATTTCTCTAGATTTGTCAATTGCTAATGGATTAGCCTTATTGTGTGTTTATTGCCTGTATATATTGTATATAGTTATTGTACTTATTATATATTTTTTCTTATATTAGTTATAACCTTGTTTATTTTAGACAAAATTGGGAAATGTGGTAATATTTTTTGCTCTAACAAAATAAAGCTTGCCTGAAAATCAGAGGGTGGAGCTACCTACTAGCTACCATAGTGGTCTGGAGATTCATACAGAGAGACAGGAAGTGATGTGACTGGGCAGAGAGTGGAATGTAAAGGTGGGAGGAGACAAGAGTACTTTTTTTTTGGCCTGGGAGGTTAAGGTGTTTAGGTGTGTCTGTGGTTTGCTCCTTTGTCTCTCTGAACTTTCAACATTTACCTCTGTATTTCACTCTCGGCTTTTATTATTAAGACTTATTTAAACTCATAGGTAAGGTCCTATTGTTGGGGAAGTCCTGTGTATATGTCAATAAATTACTGCTGGCCAATAGGAATCTAGATAGTGGGGCTAGGAGTCCAGGAGGATTCTGGGAAGGAGAAACACAGGAGAGTTCGAGATGTAACGCCATTGGGGTAGGAAGCCCAGAAACCTCTCCGGTAAGAAACATACTTAGATTAACAATTATGGGGTAATTACTTAAGTCAGAGCTAGCTAGTAAGAAACAAGCAAGGCCAACAGCTTCATAATTAATATAACCTCCTGTGTGTTTATTTGGGACTGATGTGGATCTAGAACCAGGCGGGCGGGAAGGCTTTTCTCTCAAGGAAAAAGCTTCTCTTTACAGAATGGTGATCAGGAGTAGGATCATGAATTTCCACGCAAAATAACAAAAGCTTTAAAGGAATTTTAGAAACAGAAGAACGGAGAGAAGCACAGATTTTTGGTAGCAGCATTTTTCTCAGGTGTGCTCTGTTTTGCTATCGACAAGCCGAGATTCACACGGCTCGCTTACAGGAGTCTTCCTGACTCGGCATAAAAAGAAAAAAAAACAAACAAACAGCCAACAAGGTTGTTTTAAGAGACTCTGCTAACGATTTAAAAGTTGTACGTACAGCTGGAAGTGGCAGCTTTTGCTGGAGGTCAGCATGGACTGAGGCGGTAAGCTGGAGTCACACTTACGCCCGCCATCTTGAAACAGAAGTTTAAAACAGCCGCAGTTTTACAGTTAAGACACGTGGCCAGAAAAACATAAAGATTTACAGTAAAGTCAGACTTGGATGAAGAAAATCTCTAAAGGTTTACAGTGTGTTTAAAAATATACGTGAGATTGAGAGAGAAAATGAAACGTCAAAGCGGTAAATAAATACAAAAGCCGGCATTGTGGTGGCGCACGCCGGTAGGATTTACTCCAGAGGCAGAGGCAGGCAGATTTCCAAAGAGAAACCCTGTCTCAAAGAAAAATAAATAAAAGTAAAAGAAATAAAATAATAATAGAAATAAATAAGCCACGCAAAGATGGAAAATACACAGAGAGTCTGGACACTGTACGCTATTGTGTTTTTCAGTTTTTTCATTACTAAGGAAGGAACAACTAAAGTACACTTGATTATAAATGCTGCTGAATTAATCCAACTTCTATCTTTTAAAAATGCCTTGACTTCAAAATTTAAGTGTAAGGATATGTTACTTGGAAAAGGAGTTTTCATTTATGTTTCTACAGAAAATGAAAAGTTGAGAATTCCTTCCAGGCTTCTGTGGTTCGACGAACCAAGACCCCCGGAAGCAGTGGACCAGGTGTTCCAACAATCGAAACAGTTAAGATGATACAGCTTTACAGACCCTGAAAATATGGACTTATACAGGTTTCTGAGTTTTGTCATGATCCCCATGGTAAAAACAGCGCCCCCTTCCAGCAGGAAGCAGTTTGGAATGAGCGACGTCCCAATTCCCATCTTGTTTATAAATCTTTGTTTTCATTTAAATGGGATTGTTTATAATTGGTTAATGATCACAACCAATCTCTTTTAATGGTAAAAAGGGGAATTATGGTATGGGTATGGTTTTTCATTTATTGATACAAATTCAAGGTCAATTTTGTGATGTGTATATTTCTCCTTTTGATTAAGTATTGTGCTTATACTGATCTTTTACAACGTAATGCATAATTGAATGCAGATTATAGATAGTTACTTATAATAGTCAGAATTTGTAGTTGGTTAAGTTAGGTTTTTTAGATATACAGAAATATATTTGACATAAACAGTCTTCAAATCTCTCAAAGACCTTCAGAAAATGGCATTTAAAATAGTTTAGGGTTTTTCTTGATAATGAGAAATGTCTGCTCCTGGCAGCACCAATTACGTATGAGAGGAAAATGGGCATCGAAGAAACTCGTTATGGAGTTTGCTTTCAACATGGCAAGATTAGCCATTTGGGCAAGAAACTGCTCTTACCTAGACTGTTTGACTGTTGTTGTATAATCTGGACATGCAGGACCCACAGGAAAGTGACTGCTGAACTGAGTTTTACAGGGTTCCTGCTTCATGGAAGAGTCTACGGTACATTCTGCAGGACACAGAAAAATGACTGACAGACTGCTGATGCAGATGGACAGTTTTGAAATTTCCTGCTTGGCTGAGAAATCTTCTGGATACATTGTGGCCTATGGGCTGAAGATGGATGCCCCAACGTTACAGTGGAACTTCGGGTGACTGTCCAGGCAGTAAGATATCTCTATCAATCCTAGTGTTTATATATTATCCTTCTGTGGTCTTTGATGGAGTTGAAGACAGATAGCTATAATTATAGTTTTCCTTAGTTATGATAAAAGATAAGCTATATATAGAACTTTGGACTCACAAGGATGGGATGGATGATATTTTCTTTAAATCTTGCTAAAATATTGTAACTATGTTCTTACTTGGTAACTGTTCTGTTATATATAATTTGACTATGTTAAAGTTAAGACCTTTCCTTTTGTTTAAACAGAAAAGAGGAGATGTTGGGAAAGTCCTGTGTATATGTCAATAAATTACTGCTGGCCAATAGGAATCTAGATCGGTGGGGCTAGGAGTCCAGGAGGATTCTGGGAAGGAGAAACACAGGAGAGTTCGAGATGTAACGCCATTGGGGTAGGAAGCCTGGAAACCTCTCCGGTAAGAAACATACTTAGATTAACAATTATGGGGTAATTACTTAAGTCAGAGCTAGCTAGTAAGAAACAAGCAAGGCCAACAGCTTCATAATTAATATAGCCTCCTGTGTGTTTATTTGGGACTGATGCGGATCTGGAACCAAGCTGGCGGGAAAGCTTCTCTCAAAGAAAAAGCTTCTCTTAACATACCTATGTAACATAAGACCCAAGAGTTAAGGACTTCCTGGGCAGAATGGTGTGGGAAGCAATGATTGAATAGCTTCAGCTATTTCCCATTTAGTTCCACACCACTCTAACCTACTTACCAAATATGGGATATTGCTGAACACAGGAAGTCAAGAGGAAGGCTATCAGCACACATGCTATTAAACTCAGAATCGTTATCCAAACTCTTCTCCATGAAAACAGTTCATCTGAAATGTGAGTCACAAATCTTATCACTGAGAAAACTTGTTTGTACATACATTGTTAGGAATAGTGATTCGTCTGAAGCTTGATGTAATTTAAGTCTACCACCTTGGAATATTAGGTTTAGGCAAGTGTGGAGAGGCAGTTATGATGGGTTGGGGAAAGAACAGACTGTTTCTAGAGTCAAATAAGCCAGATATGATTTAGAGAAAGGTGGATAGAAAGGTTTGTGGAAGCCACTTCTCTCGTTTCTTCCTGCTAATCTTGCCTCATAAGCTTCCAGGGTGAAAAGGAAGAGACAGAGCTAAATCTTCCCTTCTGTTCAAGTGTAGGATGCCAATGAGAATCATAAAGCTAGTCCAAAGCAGGGCTGCAGTGTTCATATCTGAAGCTCCATGATATGTGCCCTGCTCTATCAGTGCACTCGTTGGTGCACTCTGAGACTACTGCTCCTGAATATATCTAGGGACTTAGTGTGCATAAATTTTCCTTTTCTCTTTTTTGAAGATGGAGGTTTCTGTCTCACCTGATCCCACAACCTCTTTGCCCAAATAAACACACAAAAACTTACATTAAATATAATATGTTTGGCCAATAGCTCAGGCTTCTTGTTGCCTAGCTCAGTCTTAATTATTAACCCATTTCTGTTAATCTATGTATTGCCATGAGTCTGTGGTTTACCCGTAATCCAGCGTACACCTTCGGCAGCATGGTGTCTCTTCAACGCTACTTTCTGCCTTCCTCTCCCCAGTATTCTCTCCATCTGGTAGCCCCACTTATGCTACCTGCCTGGCTACTGGCCAATCTTCCTTCTCAGATAAAAATTCTACACCATCTAAAACATGTTGCTGTGACTAGGATGAGGTAACTTAGAACCCACTAAGAATTCTCCTATATCATTTTGAATGTTTATTTGTTGTGGAATAAACCTGTATTGAGCTGTTACTTTCATGCATGTAATTACTTGGTGTTAGTCCCTATCCCAGATAAACTCTCATGCTTTGTAAATCAATGATATCCAATTGGAGCCTTGCCAGCTTGCTAGTCATTCAGCAACAAATTCCTGCATGAGTAAGTTTGATCATGATCTTTTCTTTGTCATCAAACTTGATTTTTTTATGTTCTATGAATGGAACATATGGTTAAATATTTTCCTTTTCCTAAAAGTGCAACAGTGTCCCAAGTTTGTATTTATTGTAATTATTTTAAAACACATTGCTTAGAGTTTGTAAATACTTAAAACATTAGATCATAACACGTACATTTTGTTATTCAATGAAGTTGTAATACATTAACAAATATTTCAATTTTACCTTTCTTTATTTATATAATATACACATATGCATATGTGTATATATCTACCAAATCAGTGCCTTTAATCCTTTTAGATGTATCTTCTAGAAAGTATCTGCCTAATTTCATGGATATATACCGATACTAATGCATACTTAGAACACATTCATTTGATTTTATTTTGTTCCTTTAATGTATTATGTTTTATTTGTTTAATTATAATGTGGCATCCAATCTTTGTAGCAGTTGGGAGAGTCAGTATATAAAAATCATCAAAGATTTGTTTTTTGAAAGGGTACACATATAGAGAAACAGCATAACAATAGAGTTGCATAATAGCTAAAATGAGACTAATAATAAAGGTAGCAAAGTTTAACAAGTAAGGAAACAGGGACCTCCGTATGTGTAGAGGCAGGCTGCATGCTTCAAGTTGGTCATCAAGGTAATGCTTATGAGGAAGTAAGATTTGAATACGGAATTGAAGGAGATATGGAAAGTTAGGTGAATTTACATTGTGTTAGAAGAGATAACTAGAGGTAAAATCTGAAGACAGAGCTCATCTACATGGATGTGTGAATAGATGAGGTGTAGAAGGATAGCATTAGGAGGTGAAGCAATGAAAGTAACAGCAGCACAGATAACTGAAAAAATTGGTGTTTGTTTAACTATAACCCAAAATGGACCAATTTCAGAGTACTTAACATAGCTAGTATTTTATGTAATTTATTCTATCCCTATGCTCAGGATACACTACCATAAACCAGGTAGGAAACAGGAGAGTTTTAGGGTGCTATTAGCTATCACAAAGCATAATCAGCAGTTAAGGCTTAGATGGCTGTGGAAAGGTGGTGAGACACGATGAAGAAGGAGAATTCAGTTATTGACTTGATTATTTTTCTCTAGGATTCATTCTTTTCTGACTGGATCTCTAATTTCATCTTAAATTGCATGATTCCAGGTCTACACCAAATGGAGAGTGACTCCCAGCAAAGGTTATATATATGAACCTTTTTGGTGGAAAGAATATTCGCTGGGCTGTTGAAAACCTCTCAACTCTAGCTTTTGTTCATTCATGTCTGTATATTTCAAGGTCTATATTGTCACAGTTAGGGCATCTTTAGACTTGTACTATCAATGTGGCCTGAGTGAAACTAAATTGTCTTCTTTTTTTTGCGGTTTTACACCCATTTTTATTTTTAGGATGTGTGACTAAATCTGGGTCACTGGACCCACCACAGTCTGGTACCCTGAGTCAGACATCTGTCATGACACTCGAGTAATGGTGGAACTCTGATACAAATGTATTGGCTTGAGCTTTTTTATTTTTAAAATATTTTATTTAAATTAGAAATAAGCTTGTTTTACATATCAATCTCAATTCTCTTTCCCTCCCCTCCTCCCCTGACCTCCTATTAACTCCCTATCCCATCCACTTTCTGCTTCCCAGGGAAGGTAAGACCTTGGAACTCTGGTATATTTTAACAGTAGACCCAGCATTATTTCTCTGTATATGTGAATGTGATAGAAAATTCAAGTAATGGGTAACTTTAATGACTTGGTTCTGAGAACTGAAAATATGAACTGCTACTCCAAAGCACTGAATTAAACAAGCTTGGGAGTAACCATGAGAGTTTAGTTCTTACTGTGCTCATTTTATGATATTTATTAAGCTTTTGGGTTGACTTATGAGTTTTCAGATTAGAGCAGAAGGATAGAGGAGACATATCTCAAGGAAGAGAGTCCTGATGGTACTTAACATCATGAGATAAAAGGAAGTGTGAAGAAAGTAAGGCCTCAAAAGCTATGCCTTGCAACCTTCAATGTCAATATGCCAGTTAGTTTTGTTGACTTGTCACAAACTAGAGTCATCTGGGAAGGAGAAACCCTAATTGAGGAATTGCCTCCATCTGATTGGACTTAGACCATGTGTGGATGGCATTTTCTCTATTGATGAGGCAGGGACCAGATCCCTGGGGCTGGGTGTTGTCATCATTGGTCAGGTGTTCCTGGGTTGTATTAAGAAAGCAAACAAAGGAGAACAAGCTGGTTAACAGTGTTTCTCTGTGGTCTCTACTCTAGTTCCTGCCTCCAAGTTCCTACTTTGAGCCCCAGCTCTGGCTTTCCTTGATGAAGCACTAAAATGTAGGTATTTAATCCAAATAGATACTTTCCCTACCCCAACTTGTTTATGGCCATGATGCCTTATCACAGTGACAGAAAAGCAAACTAAAATGGTCAAGAATATAGATTGAGAAAATAAGTATATCCAAGAGAGTAAGAGAGACAACAAACTAGATTGTAAGTAAGCTCCAGAGAATTCAAGGCCTAATGAAAACAACAAGGAAGAATCAATAAGTATGTGCAATAATGTCTGTTACTGAAGAACAAAGACTTATTTTACCTGATAGGACAATACTAATGCTTTCTTCTTGGTGAGTTAGAAGGTTTCGAAAGCAGCAAGTGACGTTTCGGTGGTAGTAAGCTTCAATAAAAAGGACCATTTTCACGTTGAATAATTTGTTTATGTCCTGTGAGTGGGATTTTGATGTTGCTGGAATGACTTCTCCTTTGCTGTCTCTCCATTCCATATGAGGCAGTGGGAACCAACCTCCTGAATGACATTCCAACATCACACCTTTGGTATTAGGGGGATGCATAAGAATCTGTATATCTGAGCTTGTGACTGGTTTTCAACCAAAGAGAAAAACAGTATTGTTAGGTTTAAATGGAAGAGGAAAGAACAGAAAAATAAAAGCTTTTCCAGTTTTAATCCCAATTTCAAAAGATACATTAGTAATCAGAAGCATACAGGATACTGGTTGCCACAAGAATCTCATGAAAATGGCAAGAGCTGCATGGAGAGGCTACAGTAAACAGTTAGCAACCTGCCCGGCTAGGTCAGCTCAGGAAAGGGTTGTTTAATTTGTTTGTTCATTTATTTAAAACATATTTAAGTTGTTTACTAAAAGTGAGTAATTAACCCACATCTTTTGGATTATGATGAACAGACCAAGATTTTGACCATTATATAAATTAAAATTTAATTTTTTCTTTAATCATAGTCACTACCTAATTTGAGTCACTATAAGTAGATCATGAAAATGAATTTCATTATAAGCACAATTGTGGGACTCTTCTTGGATCTTTGTGTATTTCTATAGTAGGTAATTTATAACTTATGAACATTTGCAAGTAAAGTTATTTGGAGAAGAGTGTATGCTGTGTGTAGCTGCTATTCACACTAAATAGATGAAGAGGTGAAGCAGAAGTGGCAAAGATGTAGGAAAAAAGTATTTGTTTGTTTTTTGACTTTTCTTGTTATTTTTGTTTTTTAAATTAATCTTTATTCTTTTTTTGTTTTTTTAACCTTTCTTTTGTGTGGGGGGCAGGAGATGATACAGGGATGAAACTGATACAGAGGGACTGAGAGGTGAGTAGTGTTGGAGTGAATGATAAAAAATTATTAAAGAATCAATAAAATTATATTAAAATGTGTTTAATAGAAAACAGGCAACTCATCAATAATATGAAAAGTACATACTAATTTAGAGAAAATAAACATGTCTGAAAAATTTCATCATATTTACTGAGACATAAAACTTGCCTAATGATGACTGTGTTCTTTGCCTTACAGAAGCTTCTGAGTTTCAGGAGGTCCCATTTACTAAATGTTAATCTCAATGTTTGTACTACTGGTGTTTTGTGCATGGCAATAGATATGGATCTATCAGAAATCTTCTACATGTCTGCATCCAGTTATGCCAGCACCATTTTTTGAAGATGCTTTCTTTCAAGACAAAACAGCATCCCACAGAGTGGGAAAAGATCTTCACCAATCCCATATCTGACTGAGGGATGATTTCCAAAATATTCAGTGAATTTAAGAAGCTAGCCACCAAAATGCCAAGCAATCCGATTAAAAAGTAGGTTGCAGAATTAAATAAAAATTTTTCAATAGAGGAAACCAAAATGGCTGAAAAGACACTTAAAAAAGTGCTCAACATCCTTAGCCATCAGGGAAATGCAACTCAAAAAAAATTCTGAGTTACTATCTTACACTGGCCAGAATGGCTAAAATAAAAAACACCAATGACAGTCTATGCTGGAGAGGATGTGGAGAAAGGGGAACACTCCTCTACTGCTGGTGGGAGTGCAAGCTCATACAGCCACATTGAAAATCAGTATGGCAGTTTCTCAGGAAAATGGGAATCAGTCTACATGAAGATCCAGCAATTCCTCTCTTGGGCAAATACCTAAAGAATGCACATTCATACAACAAGGACATATGTTCAACTATATTCTTAACAGTGTCGTTTGTAATAGCCAGAATCTGGAAGCCCCTCAACCGAAGAATGGATGGAGAAAATGTGGTACATTTACACAATGGAGTATTACTCAGTGCAAAAAAAATTGAAATCTTGAAATTCAAAGACAAATGGATGGAACTGGAAGAAAACATCCTGAGTGAGGTAACCCAATCACGGAAAGACAAGCAGGGTATGTACTCACTTATATGTGGATATTAGACATAGAGTAAAGGATTACCAGACTACAATCCACACCACCAGAGAAACTAGGAAACAAGGAGGGCCCCAAGAAAACAATGCATAATCCCCCAAAGAAGGGGAGGGGAATAAGAACCCCTGAGAAAATCTGAAGCATGGGGGAGAGAAGGGAGAGGTAGGAAGTAGAGAGAGGGAGAAGGGGATGGGGGAGGAGAACAGGAGGACTGAAACGGGAGAGGAAAAGGGGAGGGCAAGAAAGGAGATGCCTTGATAGAGGGAGGCAGTACAGGTTTGAAGAGAGGTCTGGCACAGGGGAAACGTTAGGGGATCCACAGGGATGACCCCAACTAAGAATCTAGGCCGTGGTCAGAGGCTGCCTTTGATGCCCTTCCCCTATAATGAGACTGATGACTACCTTGGTTGCCATTCCTAGAGCCTTCATTTAGTAGCTGAATGAAGCAGAAACAGGCACCCACAGCTAAACACTGAGCCAAATTCGTGGAATCCAGTTTCAGAGAGGAAGGAGGGATGAGCAAAGGAACCAAGACAGTGCTGAAGAAACTGCAGAAACATTTGACCTGACCTAGTAAGAGCATGGAGACCCTAGTTGTAAATCTGGGCAACCAGCCTTGAACCAAACAAGACCTCTGAACGTGGGTACCAGCTAGGAGGCTAGGGCAGTCTATGCAACCTCTAACAGTGGAACTAATGTTTATCCCTAGAGCTCAAATGGACTTTAGGAACCCATTACCTATGGACGGATACTATTGCAGCCCAGATACAGGAAGGAGGGCCTGGGCCCTCCCCCAATTGATGTGAGGGACTTTGATGGTCCCCTGTGGAGGGCCTCACCATCCCTGGGGATTAGGTAGGGAGTGGGTTGGGTGGTCCATGGGGAAAATGGGAGGATGGGAGGGCAAGGGAATGGTGGGGTTGATTTAAATAAGAGTGCTTCTAAAATAAAACAAAAACAAAAAACAAACTTGCCTAATGCATAGGCCAAAAAAGAATGAACAGAGATTTAAAGCACTTTACCAAAGCTGCTCTGTCTAGAAAAATGTCCTAGGAATAACACAAATATTATACACACACACACACACACACACACCACACAAATATATGTCTTGTGTGTGTGTGTGTTCATGCTAACACAGTTGCTGTGTGACCCATAAGACTACTTAAAATAGCAATAGTTAGCTTTGTGTCTCATTTGACCATTAGGCATATCATTGAGCTACATTGTGTAATTCTGCTCTAGACTACAGAGGTGAGTGTTGATGATATCCAATGAAGATTAATCATCTGAGTTTAGAGCCCTACATGAATATGCATACATCTATGGATTTTTTCAGGTTTTTTATCTTAAGCTCTTAACCTTCCTTCCTTTTATTTATCATCCAGAATAATTCTGAGTAAGGAAGTAGCATAAAGGCTGTATAGTCACCTATACTTCATATACATTGTTATATCTGAAGATAGTGATGATTGTAGTTAAAATCTTTTAAAACAGATTTAGGAAAATTAAATGTGTATGAAGTTTTCGGTGAATTGATTTGAAGAGAAATGGATATAAGTATTATTAATCAAAAGAATATTTTTCGTTCTTTCATTAAAAATTTCTATACAATAATTTTGATCATGTTTTTCCCTGCAGTCCTATCATATTATCCCCACCTCCATACCCACCCAACTTTGTAGTGAGAAGCATATTTTAAAAATTCATTTCATTTGGAAAATTACTGAAGTGTTGTTAGAGACATTTGAAAGGATAATAAAACAACCCAAAAAGAATCTGATTGTATTTTAGAAACCTAACAATGTATGTAGGCACAAAAAGAAAGTATTTACTAATAGAACCACTTTCTGCACTGTAGTAGTTTTCATTTTTGATCTTCCGTGATATCCAATTCATAAACTAACTGTATAGAATTCATCTTGCTAATCAAACCATGCTATAAGAGTCAAACACTGATAATATTCCAACTACTCAACCCGAGATAGGCTTTGAATCATGGGTGCACAGCAGTCGTATAGGAATCCATGCTTACCTGTGACCTTAACCTCTATTATGTGCTCTTCATAGAATTGTCCATCTTTGAAGATGCAGTGGTATGGCCCATCATCAGAAGCAGACACGTTAAAGATCTTGAGGGTCACTTTTCCTTTCCCAATGTCATCTTTGAGGAGTTCAGTCCGCTCCACATATTTGGAGATAGTTTCCCCATGCAGGTCCTTACCATTCCTGTACAGGTGCACAGGTTGTGTATAGAGGTTCCTGAACCAGCGAATCTCCATGTGCTGTGCATTTTGTGGTGGGGACAACTGACAACTCAGTTCAAGGTTTCCACCCAATGGAGCCAAGACTGGCCCAGTCAAGCCAGCCACGGTGAATTCTTCTGTAAAGGAGAATAATCAAAAGACAAGAATGTGAATTAGTAACTGTATCCACACCTTTTGTTGAAATAATTCTCTCTGTTAATCCCTCTTCTGTCTTCTTCCTCTCTCTCTCAAAAGTCCACACATACTTCAGGGAAGGTCACTTTGTTTATTCTGAAGGCATTTTAATTACTAATTACTTAATTGATACTAAAGTAGAAAGTGTTACTATAAATGGTTAGAGAAGATTTTAAGTAACTATTGCAGGTGTTGAGCCACTTCAAGTCAGGATGGATTCAAGACAATTCAAGGCAGTGTGGAAGCCTCAGCTGGGAAAACTGCAATATGAATAGGCCAGGCCATGTAGTGGAAATTTTGCTGAACGAGGGCTCCAGGGACATTAGGCAATGTACAGCCTGTGTCTTGTGATATTTGCACAAGGTTTGTAGATGAGAGTGTGCAGGCACTGCTGCCCCTTTATGTTAAATTATTGACCTTTTATGTGGTATAGATGAAGGGGTTGTCACATCCATAGGACTTACGTGCTCATTAACAGGCTTGGATTTTATGATATAGTCTTGACATTCCCATTTTCCTAGGTGTTCCTGACCCATGCTGATAACTTAATAGGTGTTATTTTCTTTACTTGCATGAATAAGTTATTTGTGATTTTGTTCCTAGTGATTCATACTGGGTTGGTTATGATACTTTACTTGCACAAATGTATACACTTATTCTGAGTCATCATGTGAACTCAAAATGTAACAAACTGCTGCACTGTGAAATGGAGTCACTCTTCCTAGTAATTGGCTTGAAAGCAACTGTTCCACATGATGTAGATTGAGAGTGAGACAGAAAGATGCCAAAAGAGAAAGCAAGCATGAGAGTAAAAGAGAGAAAATAGATAGATAGACAGAGACAGAGAGAAAGACACACACACACACACACACACACACACACACACATGCAAACACACATACATACAGAGAGATTATAAAGTTGAGTAGGTGAAGAAGATCTGGGAGGAACTGAGGTTGAAGCAAATATGATGAAAGCAGGTTACATTAAATTTTGCTTTCAAGAAATAATTTTTAAACAGGAATGAGTTACATGGAAAAAAGGTAAAACTTCAGGGTAAAAGTAGCATATATAACTCTTCTGTTTAGGAAGCACTTTAGCAGTTTCACAGGAGAAGGCCCTCAAAAGACTGTTAGCCAGGATATAGCACCAATGCTCTGTCATAGGGAAAAGTGTGTGTGTGTGTGTGTGTGTGTGTGTGTGTGTGTGTTTGTGTCTGTGCTGTGTCTCTGTGTGTTTGTTTGTGTGACACCTCTCCACAGCACAGGTGGGAATCCCTGGTGAGAGAACTCTGAAGAGCATCAGCAGTTTCAGTGGGATTTTGTTATTGTCTAGCATGAGAACCCTACACACCATTCAAAGCTGGATGGCACTGAATGAACAAAAACATCTTATTTATAAAATATTGAAAACAATGGACAGAACAGGTTGTATTTATATTTATAGGCAACAAAAATTAAAGAAATACAGGAAATGAATTTGAGGGAAGCTGTACATGGGAAGGGTGAAAGGAAAAAAGGAAGGGGGGGGAAACAATGCAGTAAACTAATCCCTGTGGGAAATCCATATTACATATAAATTTTACTTAAATAAAAATTAGAAACCAAAAAATTGAACTCACAAAAAGAAGACATAATGATGGAGTGGAAAGTATTGTGGTGATATAAAGGGCATGATCTGAAGTAGCTACTCCAATTGGATTCAAACCCTGCTCTGTAGAAAGGATTTCAAGTCTGACACTGTAAATTTGACCAAACACTTACGGTTAGGAAGGTCAAGTGTCCTAGGGAGTAATTTACTATTGCTGTTTAGCTAAATTTATTATGTGGTGTCAAATTGGTTCCTAAACATCTAAGTTTATACATCAGAGACATGCATTAATATATGTATCTAAACTACCTCCATATATTCAGGCAATGTCCTAGAAGAAGAGATGAAAAAATTTAATAACTAGAAGGTCACAAGACAAAAACAAACAAACAAACAAAAACCCCTAAAACATAAAACACGAACATGGGAAAGAGACCTGTAGGAAAGATGAGGAATTGACAAGGGTAGGAAGAAGACAAGAAAAGATGGGGTTGGGTAGCCAGAATGTGTTATAGACATGTATAAAATTTTTACAGAACAAATTTAATAAATAAAAAAGCAAGTAACAAATGACCACTAATGAAAAGAAAATAAGAATTTAGAGCATCAACAACACTTCAAATAAAAGAAAAAATTTGAAAGTTATTCAGTTACCCATTAATATAAATGTAAAATGCAATAAAGGTTATACCTGAAAGCTAAGAAAAAAATCATTTTGTCTCAGCACCAATTCCCTTAGGAACTCCCTGGAACCCATTTGCAAGGGAATCAGTTAGGAGATCTTCATTCTCCATCCTTTCCTTCATCTCTCTAATCCCTCAGTCTCACTCCTAGCTCTGTAACAGACCATCTGCTGTGGCCTCTGATAAGTATTTTGAAGTCCCTAGTACTAGATTTCTCTGATGACGCAATAAGTCAGATCAGGCAAAATTAAAAGTACGGGTTTAATGACCATGCAACTCCCCAAGTGATTCTTGGGGGAAGCAGGAGAAAAATCACCTGTCAGCTATAGGTACCAGAGCTTAAGTACTCTGTGGGCACAGTCTTGCGCAGTTGCTGGAGAGAACTTGCCTTGGGTGTTTTCCAAGGGTGGGATTTGGAATGAGAGGAGTGGGGCCCAGTTTCCAGTCAAACATCTGGGCAGGGTTTATAATGGAGATTTCCAAAAGCCTCCCTTCTCTGTTCCAATGCCCAGTGAGTCATGCAGATCTACAACCTACCCCACCACACCATCCTTTTATCTCAACTGCCAGCTCCCAAAGGCACTCCCTGGAAACACAATGTGATTGAGTTCCAGTCATCTCCCAGTCTCATCTTCAGCTCTATAGTAGACCACCTGCTACAGAGGTGGGGAATCTATGCAGATCCTGATAACACAACTAACATTCCTCCCACCACTGGACCCTTTCAGCCAACCCTTTTAATCCATTTCCATTCCTTAGTGTCATCTCCCAGTACCTAGAAACATTTTCCACCCAGGACTCTTAGTTACTCATTAGCACAGGAAAAGTTTTTCTGAACAGAATTCCATTAGCACAGGGATTGAGAACAACAAATAAGAAATGAAACCTCATGAAACTGAAAAACTACGTACAGAAAAAAGGTCAGTATCACTTGCACAAAGAATTTTTTACCCACTACACATTTGATACAAGGCTAATATATAAGGAATTTAAAATCTAGACATCAAATAACTCAATGAAAAAAATGGGGTAAAGATATCAACAGAGAATTCTCAAAGAGAACAACCAAATGACTGTGAAACACTTAACGAATTGTTCACCGCCTTTAGCCAACTGGGAAACGCAAACTAAAAATATTTTGATATTTCACCGTATATCCTTTGGTTACATTTATCAATAAAATAAATGAATGACAGTTCATGCTGGTGATGTTGTGAAGTAAGAGGCACAAACATTCATTGTTAGTGGGAGTTCAAAATTGTACAGTCATGAAAGAAATCAGTCTGTTAATTTCCCAGGAAGCTGAGAATAGGTCTACCCAAAGGTCTAGCTATTTTACTCTTGATAATATACTCAAGGGATGCTTTATCCTAATATGAGACACTTGACCAACCATATTAATTACACTCTATTCATAATATTTAAAATTAAAAACCTGTATGTTTTTCAGTGGATGAATGGATAAAGAAAATGTTTTAGATCTACACAGTGGAGTATTATTATTCATCCATTAAAAATATGAAATGTCACTTCGCTCAGGGCAGGCCCCCCTATTGAGAATTTTCTATTTAGTTCTGTACCCCATTTTTTAACTGCATCCTTTGGTGTTTTGGAGACTTGCTTCTTGAGTTCTTTGTAAGTTTTGGAGGTCAGCCCTCTGTCAGATGTGGTGTTAGTGAATACCTTTTCCCATTCTGAGGGCTACCTTTTTGTCTTGTTGACTGTGTCCTTTGCCTTACAGAAGATGCTTCTTAGTTTCAGGAGGTCCCATTTGTTAACTGTTGATCGCAGTGTCTGTGCTACTGGTGTTACATTGAGGAAGCAGTCTCCTGTACCAATTTGTTGAAGAGCATCTCCTACTTTCTCTTCTAAGAGTTTCAGTGTGGTTGGATTTATGTTGAGGTATTTGATCCATTTGGACTTAAGTTTTGTGCAAGGTGATAGACATGGATCTATCTGCAGTCTTCTACATGCCAATATCCAGTTATACCAGCACCATTTGTTGAAGATGCTTTCTTTTTTTCATTGTATAATTTTAGCTTCTTTGTCAAAAAACAAGGGTTCATAGGTGTGTGGATTAAAATAAGGGTTTCCAATTTGACTCCATTGGTTTACCTGTCTATTTTTGTGCCAATACCAAGCTGTTTTCAGGACTATAGCTCTGTAGTAGAGCTTGAAGTCAGGGACAGTGATGCCTCCTGAAGTTCCTTTATTGTATAAGGTTGTTTTGGCTATCCTGGGTCTTTTGTTTTGCCATATAAGGTTGATTATTGTTCTTTCAAGGTCTGTGAATTGTTTTTGGCAAGATTGCCATTTTTGTTATGTTGATCCTACCAATCCAAGAGCATGGAATTGCTTTCCATTTTCTGGTATCCTCTTTGATTTCTTTCTTTAGAGACTCAAAGTTCTTGATATACAGATATTTCACTTCTTTTGTTAACGTTATCCCCAGGTATTTGATGCTGTTTATGGCTATTGTAAAGTGTGATGTTTCTCTGATTTCTTTATTAGCCACTTTATCATCTGTATATAATAGGACTAGTTATTTTTTTGAGTTAACCTTGTATCCTGCTACTTTGCTGAAGGTGTTTATCAGCTCTAGGAGTTCCCTTGCAGTTTTTTGGGTCACTTATGTAAACTATCATATCATCTGTAAATAGTGAAAGCTTGGCTTCTTCTTTTCCTATTTGTATCCCCTTGATCTCCTTTTCTCGTCTTATTGCTCTAGCTAGAGCTTCAAGTGCAATATTGAAGAGATATGAAGAGAGTGGACAGCCTTGTCTTGTTCCTGATTTTAGAGGAATTGTGCTGAGTTTATCTCCATTTAGTTTGATATTAGCTGTTGGTTTACTGTATATTGCTTTTATCATGTTCAGGTATATTCTTGTTATCCCTGATCTCTCTAGGACCATTATCATGAAGGGGTGCTGGATTTTGTCAAAGGCTCTTTCAGCATCTAGTGAGATGATCATATAGTTTTTCTTTTGTAGTTTGTTTATATGGTGGACTACATTGATAGATTTTCTAATGTTGAACCATTCCTGCATTCCTGGGATGAAGCCTACTTGATCATGGTGGATGATTTTTCTGATATGTTCTTGAATCCAATTTGCTAGTATTTCATTGAGTATTTTTGCATCGGTGTTCACGAGGGAAAATGGTGTATATACTTCTGTTTCTTATCCCCTATGTGGAAGGAAGTGGGGATAGGGTGGGAGGCTGGGGGGATAGTGGGGGTAGCGGGAGGAGAGGAGGTAGAGGGAAATGGGATTGACATATGAAGCAAGCTATTTAAAATTAAAGTAGCAGAAAAAATAAAAAATGAAATGAAGTTCACAGGCAAATGGATGGAACTAGGAAAAAACATTTTGAGTGAGGTAAGCCAAACCAAGAAAGACAAAAATAGTATGCATTGACTTGTATGTGGATATTAGTTTTATGTCTTCAATAAGAAAGCTACAATCCACATACCCACAGAGGTTATATATAAATTAAGGGATTAATGGTTAGAGATGAACTTCCCTAAGAAGGAAAAGTGAAATATGTAGCTATGGATGACAGGGATGTAATGGAAGGATCAATAAGGGACAGGGAGGGCAAGAGGAAGGAAAGGGGAGGAAGTACAAGGAGGGGCAGCCAAAACTGAGGCCCATTTCTGGGGCCATATGAAACCCAGTACAGTAGGAGAGCACTAAAGTTGCTTTATGCATACATGAAGGCAGTCTAAATGAAAGGGTGACAAAGTCACAAATAGATACCTGCCACCAAATGAAGTCTCCAGTATGAGGAATGAGCCTAATCAGTGTGGAGACCAAGTAAATGTGAATGAGTGAGATTTGTCATTTGAAAATCAGCTTTTCCTATAATATTCTAAACATTTTATACCAATCATTGTCTGTCTTTTCTTTTCAATGTCTTCAAGTAATTTGTACCTATTCGTGCTTTACACAGATTTCCCTACAATGTCAAATTCTCCTTTTCCAAGTCTGTTTCATCTTCCTTCTACTTTTCCCCCTACTGTATTAACTCAGATGAATTTTAATATGTATCTGCAGTCTGTACCAATTCCTCAGTGTAAAAGTGACATGTAAATTCTGTGCATTCAATATGAATATTGAGTTCTCAAGGGAAGTTTTCAATCTCTATCATTGTACTTTCTTCCTGGAAGCTGAAACAAACTGAAGTAAAGTATATTTGCTGATTAGACATAATTAATTGTTCCTCTAATCTGGATACTCTTATAAATGTCTTCACTTCACTGCTACATTCAAACTTTGGGGGCGATGATATAAATACCCTGTTCTTTGTACCATACCTTGATTTTCCTGGCATGTTTGACATTGTTAAGGCTCTTCAGGCAAGTGAGAGAATCATACCTGAACTCAGTGCCACCATCTGAAGGAGGTACAAGATGACACAGTGTGTGGCAAGTACCCCTTTAGCTCCCATTATACCTGTGATGAAACATATTAGATGAAAATTTGAATTAGATTTATTTTAGCTTTCCATTCAATTTCCAATTTTACTATAACACTAATATTGTACCTGATGTGTGTGTATGACAGATATAAAAATCTATCACATTTGAATGCTGGATCAAAGGCCAAAATACTAAGTAAATTATTTTAAGAAAAATCAAAATATTTATGACATATGCTTCTTAAATTTTGAATGAAATATATATATATATACATACATACGCTATGTTTCCTCAATCTATTTGTGTGTATGTGTGTTTTACCTGCATATATATATGTACCACTTGCATTCCTGGTGCCCACAGAGGTCAGAAGTGGTTGTTTGATCTTCTAGAACTGGAGTTAAACATGGTTGTGACCACAGTATGGATGCCAGAACTAAACCTGAGTCCTTTGCAAAAGGAAAAAATACGTTTAATTACTGATCCATCTCCCTCTATGTTCTTGTTTTGTATTTTGTTAGTATATATTAATTATGTATAATGGATACTATTAGAACATTTCCATACATGCATATACTTTGTATTCACTACCATTGCCCTCTCCTGTGCACTCCCAGTCCTGCTAACCTTCCTCTTTCCAACAACTTTCTGCTATAATATCATATGATAATCCTTTGAGTTTAATTAGGAAATTTTACAGGACAATTGTAAAGGTTTGTTTACAGGAACATGGCTCACCAGTGGTCACACCACTGAAAAAGTGTATCTTTTCCTCTTCAGCAATTATTTACTTCCTATAAAACCTCAGAGTGGGATGAGGTCTTTGTAGTTATTCCTGCTTCCACAATGGCAAATGATGGCACTAATTCCGTGCAGGTCTTATAATCATACGTGTCCCACTAGAAATATTTCTCCTAAATAATTGTATTTTCAAACATTTTAAAAGAACATATCTCTCACTTCCTCATCTCCTTCCCTTTTCTAGATTTTTAATGACAATAATTCTGCTTTCTACTATGACATCAACTTTTAAAAATTATTTTGCATATGAAATAGAATTATATTAATTCCCCTTTTCCTCTCCCCTCACTCATACAGCTTCTTTGATATCACCATTCTCAAGCCATAGTCTTTATTATTGTTACACATATACATACACACACATACACACATGCACATATGAATATGCATATTTACACAAATGTATATATGTATCAACATTATTACCTTGCAATATACAATAATAACTTAAAACAAAACTAATAAAGAAAATGTATATATGTATACACATATATATGTGCAAATATATATAAACATAGCATACTTTGTTATCTTTTCTGGTTTGTATGTGCATGGTTTCAAGACTGACCACTGCATTGGACAACCAATAACGTTGCTCATTCCTGCTAGAGCCTAATTATCCTTCTCCCAGGAATCATTAGTATTCTGTATTTCCTTTTCTGGGCATTTAACTCTTAGAAAGTTTCCCTTTTATGCTAACATGTCCATTAAATGCCACTGATCCAGTCTTACTTATGTCGCTATTTCTAGGAAATAAACTTTTATTTCCATGTATGACTAAGAACATGAAGTATTTGTCTTTTTTTGTGCTAGCCTATTTTAGAAATTGATCTTAAAGACACTTTGTAAAAACTCAACAGGAACATATCACATGGTATATCCCTTTCTGATTTTGTTTATTATAACTGGATACAATAGAGAAGTTTTTCTTGTTGAGAAGAACATGGGATGGGCACAAGTCCCATTTTATGAGACTGAGAAATATTAGACATAGGAATACATTTTCTGTAACCCTAATCAAACCACACTCCAGAACTTGATCTCAGTATCCACTATGATTCAATGTGAGAATCATTTTCAAGTGATCTATTAAGAAAACTTACTAACTCTCCATCTTTCTGAACTCCAAGATACTAATCCTTAAATATACTTATGTGTAAGTCTTTGTCACTTGTTTCTAGGGAGGTATTCCTTCCAGCAGGCACAAGGAAGAAGAAAAGGTAGAGAAATTATCTGTAAATATAAAACCATAGCCTAAAAACTTAACAAATCCCCTACATACCTGAATCTGAGGATCACAAATCAGCTCTGTTCTCCCTGTGAAAGCATAAGTTGAGTTATCTGAGTTCCTGCTAATGCTCTAGCAGTTTTACTGAAACCACCAAGCATGCCAGAGTTAGATGGAGATCAGGTAAAATAACTACCAACGCTCTCTCTCCTAACCTGAAAGTCTGGCGCCACGATTCTGTAAGCCTGATACTTAGGTCTCTTTCCCAGGGAAGTTCCTATGGGGTTGATATATCAACCCACGAATGAGATCTTTGTTTTGCTCAGTGACTGCATCTGGTATTATTCAAACACTAGCAAGACTAGAGAAGAAGAAAAACTAAACCTGATCCATACCTGTCATATACTGAGTGCCAAATGAAAAGCTATGATGAATGATCTTTGAATGCTAGATGTATACAAAGAAAGGAGAGGGAGTTGTAGAATCACAAATAACTGGCTTTAAGTTCAGATGAAACATTCCATGAAATGTCATTCACTTAATGATAAATGAAGATAACCTTGAAGCAAAATAACCAGTTAGTCCAGTTAAGCAAAAGAGGACAGTGATTTTCCAGGCTGACAGAGTAACTCTATCTGAATGACATGAGAGCAGTCAATTCAAAATACTCCTGCAATTTGCAGTAGCTACTGGGAGAAAGGTTTGTGAGTTTCAGAAAGAAATAAGGGAAAGTTATGAAAATTTAGGAAGCATATATGACATACCTAAGTGTGTGTTTATATATCTTTTAATATATATAGTATGTATTAATATTTAACATATATGCCACAAATAAGTATAGACTAGCTATATATGTTGGTGCATTAGAAACTTATATACACACATATAAAATTAAATTTCACCAAATATGTAATTATATCTCCACAAATAAGTCATATAACTCTCAGTAAATTTATTATTCATGTGTAAGTGGTTATAAATGCACACACATAAATGATTTAAATATATTTTATTAGTTCTTTGAGTTTTTTTGTAAAAAGTAGCTTGAGCATACATAACCCCCAGTTCTTCCCAGATCCATTGCCCTTCTTTACCCAACCAACTTTGTGTCCTAAATCTAAAAAAAACATTTTTATTGCTGTGATAAAACACCAAGACCAAAAGCAACAGGGGAGGAAATAGTATATTTCAGTTATAATTCAGGTCATATTCCATCAATGATAAAAACAAAACCAGAAACCTGGAGGCAGGAACTAAAGCAGAAGCCTTGGAGAGAAAACTGCTTCCTGCATTTCTCCTTATGGCTTGTTCAGCTTGATTTCTTACCACATGCCCAGGGTTGTCACAACACATAATGTTCTATCACATCAATAACTATAACTAACTATGACAGTCCCACACTCTTGTCTACAGACCAATCTTATGAACACCTTTTCTCAGTTAGGATTCCTGTTTCCATGATATGTCTTGGTTTGTATTAAGTTTATAATTTATAACCAATAAACAAACTAAGACAAATTTGTGCTATTCAATATTTTTGGATGTACTGTCTTCTACCCTAGTACAGTTGTCTTGGCATGGACTACACTGTTATAGAAGACCCCCCCTCTCCCTCTTACAGCAGCTATCATTTGTCAATGACTTCTCAACTATGGGGAGCAATTTCATACCAAACATCTTTCTCCATGCTGGGATTTGGTGTGGCTTGAACTTGAATAGGTTTTGCATGTGCTGTTTTGACCACTGAGAGTTCATATATGTAACTGTCCTTCTGTGTCCAGAAGACACTGTTTCCTTGTGTTAATGTAACATCTCTGGAATATGTACTCATCCAATTCTTCCACGATTCCTAAGCTTTGGGATGAGGGGAGGAGTTTAGATGTCTTTTTTAAGGCTGAATATTCCTTGTCTCTTATTCTCTACACCGTGGCCAGTTGATGGTCTATGTGTTAATCACCATCTACTGCAAATATTAGCTTCTCTCCCGAGGCTTGAGATAAGCTTATTTTATGATTATAGAAATAGTTCATCAAGAGTTAGATCAACATTGTGGCATTTATCAGAATAATAGCAGTAAGTTTTCTTCTAGGAAATGTGGACTATGTAGACAAAAGTACACACACACACACACACACACACACAATGAGTTATAGCAATATAGAATAAATACCCCCATACACCTATAATACCTGATAAGATCAAAGCAGTAATTAAAAATCTCCTAGTTAAAAAAGAAATCTTAGGCCCAGACAAATTCAACACAGAATCCCATCAGGCTTCAAAAGAAGATCTAATATATTTAGAAACTAGGAAAGAAAGAAGCATTTTCAGATTTCCTTTTTGAAACCTGTATTGGAGTATTAACCTTACCAGACGAAGATACAACAAAGAAAAGGATGGGAGGGAGAGGGAACTGGGATTGATATGTAAAATAAAATTGTTTCTAAGCTAAATAAAATTTATAAAAAAAGAAAATATTTAAGTCAATATTTTTGATGAACAGAGGAGCAAAATTGTAATACATGCAAACGGAATTCAAGAACATATTGCACAGATTATCCACCACCCACAACTGAATACCTTATAATAATATCCTTCCAACTTCATATATTCTCCCTCTGTCCTCTTTCATTCATTCTCACTGAGTCTATTTAGCGATGACTGTATATATATAGGGGTGCCAGAGTGTCTCTGAAGCATGAAATCTTCCTTGGGGCCACATTAATAAAGAAACTGTCTCTCACCAGCCGCTCCTTACAAAGTAGCCATCAGTTGCCAATAGCTATTTAATTAAAGGTTAGACTTAAGGAACCTCCAAATTATCCATGATGAAATTTTGGTTTGCTTTCTCTTGTACAGTCTTGTGTCTATGTCCCAGATGGTGTGAGTTTGTGTGTGAAGTGTGTTGTATGTAGGCAAAGTAGTGATTTGTGATTTTCTTTAATAATCTAATCGCTCTGAGGCTTGTAGTCTTTTTGCCCCTTCTTGCATCTTGATCACTGA